CTGTTGTCACCTGCCGTGGCCCACCAGTGGGCAACTCTACTAGCCTTGTAGCACATGAATTGAGAATCCACGAGAAGGTCTGATGCAAACGGGAAGCCATGTTCATGGTGTTGGTCAATTCATCCAGGGATTTCAGTGACGCTGGGGTAGGCCGTTGTCTTGATCTCGAAGGCAGCTGAGTTTGGTGAGATTGCTGTATATATGTATATATACATACGCATATGCAATTGCGTATCATAGGCAAGTGAATATATGTACATAAGTGCGTGGATAGTATTATGTGTGCGTATATGTATTTTATGTATGTACTTTGTAAATACGATTTATTCTAGTGCACAAATAGTGTTTGAGACCGTTCTGAGTGTGCGGTGATGGATTTACGAGAAGCAAATAGCTAAAAGCGTGTACAATGCGACATGCATGAGTATATATATATATATATATATATATATAACATAACATATACATATATATATGCAAGGTACTCACCGATCTTAATCGTGCGTTTTGATGGTGGTCCGCATTGGAAAGGGGCCGTGACGATGAGATGTCTGCTTGTTGTTTGAGGTGATTCACCAACAGGCGGAATTGCGCCGTTAGAAATTGGAACGAATTCATCAGATACGACAAATCGGTCATCAGGAAGACAATGCTGTAAATTCGTCGGAAGCCCCTGGCCTGTGTTTTTGGTGATATTTTTGGAATGGTGATTTGTGCTATCAGGAACCAAGGCAGAAAATTGGAACGTCAGATACGAAAAATAGGAAGACCATGATGTAAATGTTCCGGATGCCTCTGACCTGTGGTTGCAGGTGATGTTTCATAAATGGTGTATTGTAGTATCGGGAGCTCGCTAGAAAATTGGAACGTGTTTGGCAGATGTGAACTTTTCATCATCAAAAAGACATGCCTCCAGCTAGTATATTATAAGCGATATTGCTTTGGTAACGGCGAGTTGTGATATCTGGATACTAATTAGGAAAAATGAAACGTAATTGGCAGATATGATAAATCTTTCACCAGAAAAAAATATTGTCACACCGTCGGAAGGCTATGGACTAAGCTGTGTCTTGGGTGATAGGTTCATTCTTGTATAAGAGTCAAGATATCAAAATAACCTTAGAATTTTATAACGTAATTGTCAGGTTCAATAATTTTGCCCTCAGAGAGAGACAGGTCAGAGAATATTGGAGTGTGTTTTGGGTGGCAGTGGCTACAGTAAGCGAGAATTGGGGAAATCGAACGCTGTAAAAGTGGAATAAATCCATCCAAAGCGGCATATGTTAAAAGGTATAGCTTCCATGAGGTGTCTTGGCGGTGGTCTTAGTATATTATGGGCTTTGAGTTGGATGTGTGTTGTGAGTGGTTGAAGATGGAAAAGTGCTCTGTGATTCCTTTTGAGGTCAAAATGCTTGATTTTGGATATAGCCTGATATACGTCTGACCAAATCTATGCAGACATCTATGCACATAACGATTGCAGGATTATCATTTTAAGTATGCAATTCTTATATCATGCTGTTTTCTGAGATATATTTTAGTAGCACGTATATTGGTAACAAGCGCTTTTTCCAAGCAACATGTCAACGCAAACAGTACTGCCCAGGGTACCACACCCAATCGTTAACCGAATTGCAACGCAAAGACTATCTACTCTCGCTTGCAGGTGTGTGTGTGTGTGTGTGTGTGTATGTGCGTGTATGTGAATTTATGTGTGTGTGTGTATGTACGTGTATGTGTATGTACATGTGTGTATGTGCGCGTGTGTGTATGCATATGTGTGTGCGCGCGTGTGTGTGTGTGTGTGTGTGTGTTATA